AAGCCTGCTTTGGATTAGAATGGCCTCATCTCTGTGTCCTGGAGAGGCAAGGCATTATGTCACTTGAGGACTGGCTGCCCCATTGAGGGAGACATATTTATGCTTTTCCCATCAACTGAAGGGAATCTGAGGTTATTCTTTTCCTGGAGCCAAGTCAAGACTTGACTGGCATCACCCCCAATCATGCCACAAGTCTGTAGGGGAGACAGAAAAGGCCATTGGGTTTTCTCAATGCTGCCTCCATGCCTTTCAAGAAGATAAAATGAACCATATTCAGATCCAACTTCTTGTCTGCTTGTGGTCATTATCCATATTATTGGAACCGGAAACCCTCCCCAAGCCTTGGGCAGGAAGGAAGGAAGAGGGTTTGGATGGCTCCCAGGGTGAGTGCAGAACTGACCAGACAGATCTTCTTCCCTAACCTTCTCTGTGGGACTTTCCCTTCCTTCTTCCTTACAGCATTTTTGAGTGTCCATGTGTGCACCAGACTGTGCTGACCCCTCCGCATGCTCTTGCCTGGTTTCTTCCAACTAAAACGACTGCCTGTACTGATTTCATTCCATGTTCTGTGTCTTCCCCTACTAGACGATAAGCTTCCTGAGGGCAGGACTTATGTCATCTCTGTACTCCTTGTACTTCGTAGGCATATTTGAGACTCAATAAATACTTGTTGAATGAGTGAGTGAATACATTAATGTATTATACCATCCCATCAATCTCAAAGCAAGTCTTCATTTTCCCATTGAGCAGATGAGAAGAGGGTCATGAGATGGGAAGTGACTTGCTCAAGTAGTGGTGAGCAGAGTTGAAGTCATTAACCAGGTTCAGTCTGACTCCACAGCTCTTTTATATGTGTTTTATTGTCCTTAGAAACATATGTTTTACAGGCCTATCATGTGAACACTATTAAAAATAGAAGCTGGAGGCCTAAGAGCAGAGCACAAATGTAGGGAACTGGGGGTCTGTTCCCTTCCTGAGTTTATTAGCAACGCTTTGGCTCCTCGGCACCACAGAGGCTGTGGCCAGGCTCAGATGCGAAGCTAACAGTGTTGATCATGATGTGTGGAACTTTAAAAGCGGACTATTAATATCATACTGCTGGCTTTGCAGCTCCTTTTCATAGCCAACTTGGCCACATTTCAAAGTGTTCAGGCAGTGGAATGAAGATGGCTCAGGCCCACAGGATATCTTCTCTCTCCTAACCCCCAACCCAAGAGGATCAGCTAACTGCACTTGCCACCACTAAGCCAGAAGGTGCATTCGCTGTCTCCCCTTCCTCCTCCTTTTCTCCATCCTCACAGAGACAGAATTTCAAGAGCTGCTGGTGATTGCCTTCCAGGGCCCCTCTGTGTTTACTTTCTGAAGGTCAGGCACAATGCTGTGGTGTGTGGCTGGGCTTTCTTTTCAAAGCACCAGTATGAATTTGATAAAGTAAATTGTTGTTCTAGCAGGAAGCAGTTAGGGGTCACAAAATAAATAGCTGTAGAATTCAAATAAATCCACAGAATAAAACCAAATAAATCCATGTGTGTATGCATAGTGATACATAAATACACTTTTTAGAAAGTGAGCATTTTTATCACTGCTGGCCTGGACCAAAGTCATTGAAAAACTGTGGTACTTTTTTTTTTAAAGGCAGTCTGGGCCTTTGAGCAACATGACGTGAACTTAATTCTTTTGGAAAAACATGAAAATGGAATCTTATCTTTTAAATGGCTCCTTATCATATTTTTTCCCCCCACTAATGAAATTCCTATATGGATGAAACCAATTTGTAAAGTTAAATTGGGGATTTAGGAACTTTGGAGGCTCTGAGTGAGCTAAACAGTCATTCTGAGCCTCTCTTTTCTCTACTGGGAGATGAGTGATAGTAGTGTTTATGTGATTTTTAAATGATCACTCAGGGTTGTTGGAGGGTTCAATGCAAAAATGGATGCAAAGTGTCTTATACATTGTTGGCGCACATCAGCAGTGACTGTTATCATTGACCAGATGTTTTTCATGGTCTTCCTTAATCTAGACATGCAGTGGCTCACCTTTCACTTTTTTTTAACCTTTTCCTCATCTTGGTGAGGTGGCAATGGTGCTTGGTGTTGAACTTGGAGCTGGGGGAGGAAGTGTCTTTCCAGCTTAAGAGGAGAGCATGAACCAAGACAGAAGTCCTGTGTCCCGTTTTGTTGGAGTGTGTGTCAAGGAGGTTCGGGCTGTGGGAACTCTGGAGGTTGGACTTAGCAACATCATCTTGTCCTGTGTGGTGGGGAACCATTGACAAACCTTGAGCATGGCTGTGACATGCTCGTGCTCAGGAAGTAAACGGATGGTTGTGTGTAAGAGGCACAGAAGGCCAGGAGACCAATCTGGAGGCTGCTGCCAGGTCCAAGCAAGAGAGATTGTGGGCCTTCACTTTTTGCTTCAGGCTTATAAGGGCCTTTCCTGGCAGGTGATGAAATCTGTTTTCCATGACCTTTAAGAAAATGGCATCTGAACTGGACGCTGATAAACTAGCAGCAGCTGCGAGAGTGCCTTGCGGTGCTCCTGATGCCCTTGGGCTCTGCTCCAGGTCAGCAGGCAGCAGGGCCCAGCTCAACTCTGCTCAGTCTTGTCAATGACTTGTTGAACAGTGAAAGAAAAGAATCGGAAATGCCGTTCACTGAGCAGCTTCTGTGTGCCAGCACTCTGCTAGGAGTTTTGGATGCTTTGATCCCCTTTAGGCATCAGTACAACTCATTTGTGAGGGAACTGAGGCTCAGGAAGATGGAGAAAGAAGCAGAAGTCTCATTGCTACGAAGTGGTGGACCTGGGGGTTCAAATTTAGGTTATCTTACTCCAGGGTCTTCAGAATTCCATGCCTGAGTGCCTTGAGGTGAGCTTTTCGAAGGGGAAATGGTTGGCTTAAGAGAGGAAGGCACTTGGAGGCATCATGAGACATCATTAGATTTGGAACTTTGTTAGTGATAATTATAAATTGTGCTGTGACTTTAGCAGGATGACGTAAAGTAGTGGAAAAGCTCCTGCCCTGGTGCTTGCACTGTCTCCCTCTGTGCTCTTGGTCAAGACAAGAGGATCATTCTACACCTTCTTAGTCATGAGTAAAGGCAGGAAGGGGCTGCATGTAGAGAAGGTTTTGTTGTTGTTTGGTCACTTAGTCAGTGTTGTCCGACCCTTTGGCGACCCATGGACTGTAGCCCGCCAGGCTTCTCTGTCTATGGGATTTCCTAGGCAAGAATCCTGGAGTGGGTTGCCATTTCCTTCTTCAGGTGATCGTCCCAACCCAGGGATGGAACCCTGTCTCTCCTGCATTATAGTCGGATTCTTTACCACTGAGCCACCTGGGAAGCCCCAGAGAAGGCTGTTCAGTTCAGTTCAGTTCAGTCGCTCAGTTGTGTCCGACTCTCTGCGACCCCATGAATGGCAGCACGCCAGGCCTCCCTGTCCATCACAACTCCCGGAGTCCACTCAAACTCATGCCCATCAAGTCAGTGATGCCATCCGGCCATCTCATCCTTTGTCGTCCCCTTCTCCTCCTGTCCCCAATTCCTTCCAGCATCAAGGTCTTTTTCAATGAGTCAACTCTTTGCATCAGGTGGCCAAAGTATTGGAGTTTCAGCTTCAGCATCAGTCCTTCCAATGAACACCCAGGACTTATCTCCTTTAGGATGGACTGGTTGGATCTCCTTGCAGCCCAAGGGACTCTCAACAGTCTTCTCCAACACCACAGTTCAAAAGCATCAATTCTTCGGCACTCAGCGTTCTTCACAGTCTAACTCTCACTACCATACATGACCACTGGAAAAACCATAGCCTTTGACTAGACGGACCTTCGTTGACAAAGTAATGTCTCTGCTTTTTAATATGCTATCTAGGTTGGTCATAACTTTCCTTTCAAGGAGTAAGCAAGCGTCTTTTAATTTCATGGCTGCAGTCACCATCTGCAGTGATTTTGGAGCCCCCCAAAATAAAATCTGACACTCTTTCCACTGTCTCCCATGAGGTAATGGGACCAGATGCCATGATCTTAGTTTTCTGAATGTTAAGCTTTAAGCCAACTTTTTCACTCTTCTCTTTCACTTTCATCAAGAGGCTTTTTAGTTCCTCTTCACTTTCTGCCATAAGGGTGGTGTCATCTGCATATCTGAGGTTATTGATATTTCTCCCAGCAATCTTGATTCCAGCTTGTGCTTCTTCCAGCCCAGAGTTTCTCATGATGCACTCTGTATGTAAGTTAAATATGCAGGGTGACAATATGCAGCCTTGACGTACTCCTTTTCCTGTTTGGAACCAGTCTGTTGTTCCATGTCCCATTCTAACTGTTACTTCCTGACGTGCATACAGGTTTCTCAAGAGGCAGGTCAGGGGGTCTGGTATTCCCATCTCTTTCAGAATTTTCCACAGTTTATTGTGATCCACACAGTCGAAGGCTTTGGCGTAGTCAATAAAGCAGAAATGGATGTTTTTCTGGAACTCTCTAGCTTTTTCGATGATCCAGCGGATATTGGCAATTTGATCTCTGGTTCCTCTGCCTTTTCTAAAACCAGCTTGAACATCTGGAAGTTCTCGGTTCATGTATTGCTGGAGCCTGGCTTGAAGAATTTTGAGTATTACTTTACTAGCGTGTGAGATGAGTGCAATTGTGCGGTAGTTTGAGCGATCTTTGGGATTGCCTTTCTTTGGGACTGGAATGAAAACTGACCTCTTCCAGTCCTGTGGCCACTGCTGAGTTTTCCAAATTTGCTGGCATATTGAGTGCGGCACTTTCACAGCATCATCTTTCAGGATTTGAAGTAGCTCAACTGGAATTCCATCACATCCACTAGCTTTGTTCGTAGTGATGCAGAAGGCTGTAGGTCACTACAAAGGCAAGGAATTGACATCACTATCCATGCTGTTATCTGGGGTGGTGTTTGCTGTAGGGCCTTCTTCTTTGACCTCTTTGCACTGATGTTTTCCCTCTGTCTTGTTTTCTCCCCTGTATATGGTGATGATGGTTCCATCTTGACCAGCGGGCCTACCTTTCATCATCATCGAGACAAGCACCATCAAGCCTTACCAACGGGGGTTTTACTGCAATGATGAGAGCATCAAGTATCCGCTGAAAACCGGGGAGACAATCAACGACGCTGTGCTCTGCGCTGTGGGGATTGTTATTGCCATCCTCGCGGTAAGCGCCCAGACTGTGGTGGGCAACCTATCTGACTCCCTGGCAGCATGTCATGGTCTATCTGATATAGCAGAGGCTTAGAAGATCAAGTAGAATTTCACTTGATTAACACTATTTCATGCAGTTAATACTATTACTAAAAGTATTGTGTTGGCCAAAAAGTTTGTTTGGGGTTTTCAAAACCCAAATGGGATTTTTGTCCAACTCAATATTTTAAAATAAAAAAAAAATATATATATATATATACACTGTAAGTATTCTAAAAGTATGCTAAGCAACCTTCTAAAATACTTTGCACACATTATCTCTACAATAGTCAAAGTGTAGATATTGTCCTTATCTTTCTTCTACAAATTAAGAAATGGAGGTTCACAGAGTAAAAATAATTTTCCCAAGGTCACTTGGTTCATGAGTGATAGAGTTGGGGTTTAAACCTAGTTGTCTTCCTTACCTCAGGCTTCCCAGGTGGTGCAGGTGGTAAAGAACCCGGCTGCCAATGCAGGAGATGTAAGTGATGCGGGTTTGATCCCTGGGTCAGGAAGATCCTTTGGAGGAGGTCACAACAACCCACTTCAGTATTCTTGTCTGGAGAATCTCATGGACTAAGAAGCCTGACAAGGCTGCAGTCCGTGAGCTCACAAAGAGTTGGACACGACTGAGTGAGCACACATGCATGTCCCTTACCCCAGAGTCTGAGCTCTGAGCCACCATGCTGTAACTCTGAGCCCCAGAGGACAGGAGAAATGCCTTACTGAATATCTTGGGCATTTTCTATATTTTTCCCACACTATTGTGCTGCTGCTCTGACGGTGATAATGCCGCTGGCATGATCTGGCATATTGTTTAATTCTCTTACCTGGTAAATGAGACTTGCAGTCCAAAGACCTAGGTTCTAGACCTTGCCCTCCACTGCCAAGCTGTACATCATTAAAACCAAGGGTGACCATCTTGTTTCAAAGCTTCGCAGTGAGGAGTAAAAGAGATCATGAATATTGAAGTACTTGGTAAACTCTTAATTGCTGACCAGGTTGCTCATACCCGGAGGTAAAGTCTAGACTTATATCCAGATCTTCCCTTATAGGATGAAGCCCTCAATGCAGGTGCAAAAATGTGCTACCCGCTTGACAAGGTCCAGAATTATTTTGAGCAATGGCAGCCACGTGGGAATTGGGGTGTTGTCTATCTGGGCTGTGCTTAGATCACAGCCTTGTTTTAGATGTGTCCATTTAGAGCAGGGGAGGGGAAGAGTGAGGGAATCCAGTCTTATAATTTGTAGTTCATACATTTTCACAGCCATCCATTCCACATATCTGCTATTTTCAGCTCTTTCTTTGTCCTTGAACCCCAGCAACATGGGCAAAGGGCTAGGCATCACGTCTACCAAGATCAAAAATTCTCTCTTCTAGATTCTAAGTTGTCTTTGTGTTAGTCCAAACATGGAAGCTTATCTTTGGCCTGTATTAGCAAGCCAAGAAGGGAGAAACTTAATGGACTTCTCCAGGCCAGAATACCGGAGTGGGTAGCCTTTTTCCTTCTCCAGGGGATCTTCCCAACCCAGGTCTCCCTCATTGCAGGCAGATTCTTTACCAGCTGAGCCACAAGGGAAGCCCAAGAATACTGGAGTGGGTAGCCTATCCCTTCTCCAGCGGATCTTCCTGACCCAGGAATTGAGCTGGGGTCTCCTGCATTGCAGGTGGATTCTTTACCCTCTGAGCCACCAGGGAAGCCCAATATTAAGAACACTGTGTGTAAAATCGGGGCTTAGTATTCCCATCACTCAAATGGAAAATCTGAAGCTCGGAGGGGTTCAGTGATATGCTCAAAGTCAAAAGCAAGTAGAAATTGGGGTTCAAGCCTAAACCTGGTTTATTCCAAAGCCCTCTGTCCGTGCTGCTGACTTGATTGTGGACGGGAGGTTGGCTGTCCTATGCTCAGTGGGATAGGCGGTTAGCTACTCTTGCCTTCTCTGCATCAAATATAAACAGCTGATGGTCCACAGAGTGCACTGCATGAAGTTTTTCTTTTGACTTCCTCACTCTGGGGGTGGGTTATAAACTTTGAGACCCCTCTTTGTTTTTTAATAACATCGTAAACCAGGCACACAATCAACAGTTTGACATTGGGGAGGGGGCAGGGAGGCAAGTAGAATTCTTTCCAACCTTTAAAAGAAAAACAGTCCATTTGGCAACCGTAGTAAAGGTGGACTAAGGATCTTTGTGTTCAGAAGCTGAGAAATACAAGATCTAATTTTACTCTTTGCTCCAAAGTTACAGTTGGGGTTGAGTTCTTTAGGAAGAATGGCTTTGCCTGGAAAAAGCGTTTGTAATGGGAGGTGAATGCTTAACACGGTATCTGGTGCTTAGGTTTGAACAGGTGTTTCTGACACTTGGAAGTTCAGTTAAATTGAATTCTTTTAGAACCTGGCTGTAACTTGGGAGCTGTTGAGATAAGAATACTGCATGGACAGGGATGTTCAGACAGATGTGGCCTCTGCTCTCTTTACATGCAGTTATTAGCAGCCTTCCTAGTGGGCTGCTCCTGGGCACAGTGCCGGGGAGAGAGGCCTGGGGCCCCCAGACTATGTGAATCAGGTAAATCCCTGGGCTTCCCTGCTGGCTCAGTCAGTAAAGAATCCGCCTGCAATGCAGGAGACCCTGGTTCCATCCCTGGGTCAGGAAGATTCCCCGGAGAAGGAAATGACTACTCACTCCAGTATTCTTGCTTGAGAAATTCCCATGGACAGAGAAACCTGGTGGACGCCATACAGTCCATGGGGTCACAAGAGTTGGACGTAATTTAGCCACTAAACCACCACCACCTGGGTTTTCTAGACCTCATTTTCCTCATCTGTAAAATGAGAGTACTGTTTGATTTCACACCTGGGGGGCACATCCTTGGCTGCAGTGGACTAGGAGGACACAGGGTGCTCGTGTCGCTTCTCCTGGGTCCTTGCTTCTTCCTTCCTCACTAAGAAAGGCCTGCTTCGAAGAACTTAGTTGTGGCTGGCCTCTCTCCTCATGTCACGTGGAAGTTTTAATTAAAATGCTCCCTGACCTCCCCGGTTCCCTTGAAAGAGTCATGCACTGTGCCTTGGTTATGGGATGGGATGTGATGGGATGGGCAACGAGGACGTTTCCCCCACCCCCACAGTGCCAGCAGATTAGGTCTGGATGGTGCTTCCCTTTGGTTCTGAGAAAGTCGTCCTTTGTCAGGTGCTACTGTTGCGTCATGGAAACCTGGGGCCACATTCAAGCCTTTTGTACCCTCCCAACACACACACACACACACACACACACACACACACGAGTTTTCCGATGTCTCAGTTTCACATGGGGTTAAAAGTGTGGGCTCTGGTTCACCCCTAAGCTCCTCTGCTCTGGAACGTGTAGAAAATTAGTGAGCCTCCTTGCTCTCATCTATGAAGTAGAGATACTATGTCTACTTATGAAGGTTTTCAGAAATAAATGAGCTAATGTGTGGAAAGTAACTCAGTGCCTGCCACAGGCAGTATCTTCAGCAAATGTTCACTGTTTTTATTGTGAGTAAACAGCATCAAAAAATGATGAAGTAAAAAAAATAATGATGAAGTGACTTAGTCAAGACCTTTTACCTGGCAGAAGTAGAATTAGGAAAGGCCCTCCAGCCTTTGGACTCATCACATCTCCCGCTCTCCCCTTGTAGTTTATTCATGAGAACTCAGGTCTCTTGACTCTCGTGCCAATACTCTTTGCAAGAAAACTTTAGCCTCCTGATCCAGATGCCCCTACATTTCAGCTGGAGGCGTGTGTGAGATGTGGGCTCCTAATGCGGTATGCTCACCCACTTACCTGTCATTAACGACCAGAGTAATCATGAACAAGAGGAAAAGCAAAGACCTTGGAGGAAAAGTGAATAATCCCCATTAATACATATGGTCAATTCTGGAAAAGCTATACAACTTGAATTCAACAACAACAACCCTCTCTCCCCTTGTGACTGGCCAGAGAGCCTTGCTGGCTCCATGCAGAATCTGCTTCTGATCAGAGGGCGTGAATGACAGTCAGGGAGGGTGAAGGGGGACCCGGAGCTGGAAATCTAATCAGCCTGCTACTTGCTGCCCTGGCCTCCTCCCGCCAAATGTCAGGTTTGTTTAAAACAACAAGAGAAGCCTTGACTGATCTGGGTGCCCCTGCTCCAGTCTGAATAGTCCCCACAACAAAGGCATGGCACACCAGTGGGGTTTCAAGATGCAAATTTCAGAAGTTATAGAGAAAGCAGACACCTTTCTATGGCAGGAGATGTGGAAAAATCGGGTCATTTTGACCTCTTTTTCAGATGTAGCTTAGATTTTGAAATTATAGCATAATAGGAATTCCTTCCAAATCCAGAAGGCAATGGTTCCTATCCCTGCCTCCAAAGGGTTTAATGACTCTAGCAGCAGTTAGATTAGGAGCAAAAACAGTAAATATCATCTTTTATCTAGCCTTCTCTCCAATTGCCTTGCACCATGCCGTGCAGAGAATTATGTGCAAAGATTTTAATATGGAAAAAATGCTTAGTATTCCTTTTAAATAAACATGGGCTCAAGTGCTTGCTTTGGTCAGACCCTGAAAGGGGTTTAATGAAGATTCTTAATATCTAGGAGTTGAAGTATGATGAATCATGAGTGAATCCACTTCTCCCTCTGGCCATAAAAATGCTCCTTTTCCTCACATCCCATCCATTTTGAACCTCTGTTATGACATTCCTAACTAGAGAAAAAGCTCAGATTATGGCTTTGATTGAGGTTTGTGGCCTAGAACTTCTGAGCTTCTTCATTCTGTGACTTGTCCTTCAACTTCTGTCAAGGCATTGGCCCCTTTGGAAAAGAACTATACCTACATTTACTGTAAATTGGTGACAATAATTCACCAACTCCATAGGCTAGTTCTGGGAGTCAAATCAACTGACATTACATGTGTCAGCAGTGAGAATTGACCTTTTCATTTCTATAGTGTTGTACAGTTTAGAAAGTGCCCTTC